AGCAACCTCTGAACAGAATGTTATGAAGTAGCCTAATAGGTAACAACTAATACTTACGGTCAACCTCACCGTTTCAGTATCAATAATGGCATCATCGGGCTTCCATCTGTTACTGCTGCTTCTGGGGGCCAGTGCCGTGTTAACATCAAAGACACCCAAGTCAAAGGTGAGGCTGTGATGTTCAGTTCCAGTTAGCGTTTTATTATAATGAGCAATGAATGATTGACATAATCAACATCTCTATATATTGATTATTTTGTCTGAGTGTTTGACCTTAACATTTCAGTAGATACTATTATTATTTATAGATGTGTGTGTGTGTGTGCATGCACGCACAAATGCATGTATGCATTCATGCTTGGGTGTATCCAGGTGCACATTATGTATATTGTGTTTACAGTTAATTCTTGCTGTAAATATTTAAAATTCATATATTCATATATACTATGGATAGATGAATATTTTTATTTATCATTTACATTCTCTCTCACTCTCTCCCTCTCCTCTCCCTCTCCTCTTCCTCTCCTCTCCTTCTCCTCTCCCTCTCCTCTCCCTCTCCTCTCCCTCTCCTCTCCTCTCCCTCTCTTCTCCCTCTCTTCTCCCTCTTTTCTCCCTCTTTTCTCCCTCTTCTCTCCCTCTCCTCTCTCTCTCCTCTCCCTCTCCTCTCCCTCTCCTCTCCCTCTCCTCTCCCTCTCCCTCTCCTCTCTCTCACTCTCTCTCACTCTCTCCTCTCCTCTCCCTCTCCCTCTCCTGTCCTCTCCCTCTCCTGTCCTCTCCCTCTCCTGTCCTCTCCCTCTCCTGTCCTCTCCCTCTCCTGTCCTCTCCCTCTCCTGTCCTCTCCCTCTCCTGTCCTCTCCCTCTCCTGTCCTCTCCCCTCTCCTGTCCTCTCCCTCTCCTGTCCTCTCCCTCTCCTCTCCTCTCCTCTCCTCTCCTCTCTCTCTCTTCTCTCCCTCCCTCCCTCCCTCCCTCCCTTATACTCTTTATCACTTTATTCCTATATTCTCCCATGATTTATTGTTTATTTACATACTCATTTTTCAACAGGTTGTAAAATGCGCTGTGTGTCACAGTCTCATGACCGAGCTCCACAGTTCCATTTCTCAGGTAAGGCATTATGATATTAACTTGATTTAACTTGTCTTATTTGTCTGTATCTATTTTCTTGTATGTTACTTGTTTCTGCTTATTTGTGCTTACCTGTATTTGTAATGATGTGGATTTTTGAGTATTTGTAATGATGTGGATTTTTGAGTATTTGTAATGATGTGGACTTTTGTGTATTTGTAATGATGTGGACTTTTGTGTATTTGTAATGATGTGGACTTTTGTGTATTTGTAATGATGTGGACATTTGTGTATTTGTAATGATGTGGACATTTGTGTATTTGTAATGATGTGGACTTTTGTGTATTTGTAATGATGTGGACATTTGTGTATTTGTAATGATGTGGACTTTTGTGTATTTGTAATGATGTGGACTTTTGTGTATTTGTAATGATGTGGACTTTTGTGTATTTGTAATGATGTGGACTTTTGTGTATTTGTAATGATGTGGACATTTGTGTATTTGTAATGATGTGGACTTTTGTGTATTTGTAATGATGTGGACTTTTGTGTATTTGTAATGATGTGGACTTTTGTGTATTTGTAATGATGTGGACTTTTGTGTATTTGTAATGATGTGGACTTTTGTGTATTTGTAATGATGTGGACTTTTGTGTATTTGTAATGATGTGGACTTTTGTGTATTTGTAATGATGTGGACTTTTGTGTATTTGTAATGGTGTGGACTTTTGCGTATTTGTAATGGTGTGGACTTTTGTGTATTTGTAATGATGTGGACATTTGTGTATTTGTAATGATGTGGACTTTTGTGTATTTGTAATGATGTGGACTTTTGTGTATTTGTAATGATGTGGACTTTTGTGTATTTGTAATGATGTGGACTTTTGTGTATTTGTAATGATGTGGACTTTTGTGTATTTGTAATGATGTGGACTTTTGTGTATTTGTAATGGTGTGGACTTTTGTGTATTTGTAATGGTGTGGACTTTTGTGTATTTGTAATGGTGTGGACTTTTGTGTATTTGTAATGGTGTGGACTTTTTTGTATTTGTAATGATGTGGACTTTTGTGTATTTGTAATGATGTGGACTTTTGTGTATTTGTAATGATGTGGACTTTTGTGTATTTGTAATGATGTGGACTTTTGTGTATTTGTAATGATGTGGACTTTTGTGTATTTGTAATGGTGTGGACTTTTGTGTATTTGTAATGGTGTGGACTTTTGTGTATTTGTAATGATGTGGACTTTTGTGTATTTGTAATGATGTGGACTTTTGTGTATTTGTAATGATGTGGACTTTTGTGTATTTGTAATGATGTGGACTTTTGTGTATTTGTAATGATGTGGACTTTTGTGTATTTGTAATGATGTGGACTTTTGTGTATTTGTAATGATGTGGACTTTTGTGTATTTGTAATGATGTGGACTTTTGTGTATTTGTAATGATGTGGACTTTTGTGTATTTGTAATGGTGTGGACTTTTTTGTATTTTATAAATGTGTACTTGCCATTTCTGATAAGAATGTTTGTTGTGCTGAGATATTTTCATTCAGTGAGAGTTTGTTTTACCTTTTCCCTATGTGATGGGGGTTTAAGAAAAGGGATAGATTACAGAACAAATCAAGAGACAATCCATTCAAATATATGTTTAATTGATAAAGTTCGGATAGATATGTAATACGTGTTATCTGTTAATCTCACAAGTGTTTGTCTCTTGTAATCTAACAAATGATTGCATTGATATCACTTGAAGGAGGACATGGATTTTCAAGAAGTTTGGTTCAGATTCATTTATTGTTGCTGTTTGTTGTCTTTTTTTTCTTTATTTACTACTCTTCCTCCTCCTCCTCTTCCTCCTCCTCCTCCTCTTCCTCATCCTCCTCTTCCTCATCCTCCTCTTCCTCATCCTCCTCTTCCTCATCCTCCTCTTCCTTATCCTCCTCTTCCTTATCCTCCTCCTCCTTATCCTCCTCCTCCTTATCCTCCTCCTCCTCCTCCTCCTCCTCCTCCTCCTCCTCTTCCTGTGCGGGATGAAGGTCAAAGGAGCTGCTGCACAAATGTTACCATAAAAGGAACTAATCGTATTTCGTGTCATTCCCTTCATTTGTGTTTTTTCCTCAACCTTACTCCTACCCCAGTGTGCTTGTTCTTCAACTAGTTTATTTTGCAGGTAGACCCCAGGAAAAAAATAGACGTTGGTTCGTACCGGATCGATGCTGACGGAAAACAGAAATTGTCATCAGTGAAGTACGCTGGCTCTGAGGTAGGTTAGCCCTGGAAAAGTGTCGAAAAGTAGTTTGCAAATGGAATTGGGTGGTGGAGAATAACTCCAGGTTGTTTTCAGTGTTATATAACAACACACATTTTATTGCTATACCCTTTTCTCCCTGCAGTACTTCATCTTATTTTTACTGATTTTGTTCCCATTATTTCTTCTTTCAGGTAAATAATTGATTTCCTTTTGTAAAAAAAAAAAAAAAAAAAAAAAAAAAAAAAAAAAAAAAAAAAAAAAAAAATTTAGATTATTACATATAAAAAGGAAAATATCTAATAATTTGATAAGCAAGTCTTGCATCATAACCATTTCCTCATTTGAGGAAAGGTTCTCTCCCAAGCAGATATACAATATATTGTAGACTTTATGGCCCAAAATAGTATATTAGCTTTCATTTCATAAGTGTCTATTTTTGTGCTTTTCTTTGTCTCTTTCTTTTCTTGTTTCTTTTTCTCATGGAAGATTTTTGGACATGAGAGGATGGGAAGGTAGAAAACCTAATTTCACAATTATAGGGCTATAATTGCTGATTTCCTGATGGTCAGTTGGAACACCTGCCTCTCTGGACTCTCTAATTGCATGGTTATTAAGTATCTGCTTCTGAGGTTACTGGTTGGAAATTTTCCATCTGCCTGAAATTTCCTTCCGCCTTTATCGCTTCAGGTGTGGGGTATGGGTACATCTGGGCATGGCTGTAAGTGTGGGTGTTTTCATAGCATATACACAACTGTCTGTATGGGTTAAATGTAGCTGATTTTCTGATGCAAGTAGAACAACGAAGGGAAGTGCAGGAAAACGGTCCGATATGGGCATATTCGTGTGTTTTCCCGTACTTCCCATCGTTGTTCTACTTGCAGTTTATTTGACATTAATTCAACATGTGTGATTTTCTGATGTATGCTTCGAACACCTGCTTCTCTGACCAGCTGATTACATAATCACTAAGCATCTGCTTCTGGAGTTAATAGTTGGAAATTCTCCATTAGAGTCTGAAATCTGCCTATATATTAATTTCTTCATTCATATCACTTACTGGTAATAGTTTAGCATTCCTCCATTGAAAGTGGATCAATGCCTTGGGGAAAGCAGCTCTCCCATTTTGTGATAGGAAGGTGTTAAGTAGGTTATGTGCAATCTCCTTGCAGAAGTCTAGATGCAACAGGTGCCTACCCAGCATCTTTTAAACACAAAAGGCATTAGTGGTTAGCATGTCACCACTTCAGACTCTTCTGCATGGTTCCCGCTAGGTCACTGAGGTCGAACCCCTTCATCTCCTCATTGTAGTCGAGGATGGGTTTGAGGACTCTTTTGCCTTTTGTCTTCCACATTGATGTAACTTGGGCTTTGTGGCTGCGGCATAACTTTGTCTAACAGTAGTTCCCAAATACCATAACTCATGCAACAATACCTCTGTTCACTAAGTTGAGGAGTTTAAATCCCTCTGTATTTGCAAGCATTCACAATCAACACCATATCAACAAGATATGATTAAATGGAAACAGGACATCAACGCAAGCCTTGTGTTGGTAACATGTACTGAGTAATGTAATGATAGTTTGTGGAAAAAAAAAAAGTTTACTTTATATGAACACAAAAAGTAATGCCCATCTTTCACTAATGAGATGAATAGCCGTAATATTAACCCATTGGATGTGAGTTGACCTTCATGTCATTTAAAAATTTGTCAGAAGGCTCGTTGATGGGAATATGCAGTCACAGAAAAATTTGACTGAGAACTGGGGTGACAGGAATGATTTGCATGATTGCACAAAGCTCTTAGAGGATGATTAGACTCATTAGGGATTTAGGAGTGTTGTCCAGATATGAGAGGTGAACAGACCAGTTTAGAATAAAAAAAGAAAATAATAATAATAAAAGGCTGTCATTGCCATATACTTGAGGGGGGGGAAGTTTTTCTTTAATAGGAGGGTGACCACAAGGATGATTTTTTACAAAAAGCATTAGTTGTGCAGTGGTTAGATATATAGCAGGAAACAATTACACTTTTTTTGGAGTATATTTTCTAGATTAGTTTCATAAGCTTTGTCCCTCACCTCTGTTAACCCCTTAGATCCAGTTGCATCATGACAACCACATGACCAAGAATCCAGACATTAGGCTTAGGTGAGCGGCCACTCTGTCGGGTGCATGGTTTGTACACTAATGTGTAGTGACAAGACTCTATTCCTTCTATTTGCAATGTTATTTTCTTTATGCATAAGTGCTTTTAGCTTTTCTGCTATTTTGATAGTCAACTGTTTTCTTTGCACGCACTCCATATATCTCTCTTGGTAGTCTGCAGCTCAGTGCAAGAAAAAAAAAAGATTTAACGTATTGTTATTTGTCTTTTTTTTACCCATTCGCCCCACGTGGCAAGAATAGATGCCATGCCCACTTTGATACATGTTTATTTATTGTATTTACGCATAGATGGCTCCACAAGTTCTTAACCCTATGATGCCGGGTGTACAAAAAAAACAAAAAACTCTACTCTCTAGCAAACAAAGGCGGCGACTTTGAGCGCGTGAGTAGGGGACATCAGCCCAAATCACTGGCTCGCCGCGCTTTGGCGCGCCGCCGCGACATACGCCCGCATGCCAGCTTTCGAGCGGTTTGTTTTCACGCCGATCGGCGTCACCCGGCACCAAGGGGTTAATCACCAAATAGCCAGTTATTAAGAACTACCCATTTCACTTGTTTACCCTTTTCCTTCACTTTAGGAATTTTTTTTTTGTATCATTTCATTGTCTAAAATATTCTAATGACAATTTAATAATCATAACATCAATAACAATAATAAGTGTTGATATCAATTTTATTAATTTTCCTGCCAATTCAATGAATGGGAAAATCAGGATCGGTAACTAGGGCCTACTGATAGACTCCTTGCCGGCTGAGTACATGTGGAGCCATCTGTATGTAACAAAATTCACCAAAAACTACAGGGAACAGAACATAAATCCGGGGCGAATGAGTTAATATTCAATTTTCTGTAATACAACCTGTGCTGCTGATTATGGCACCAGGAATATGATGCTGAGCATGGAAATGGCATTCTCCATCGAGCATCATCCTGGTCTTCAGCTGAAATGCTAATGATGTCAAGTTCACATCACCCAACCCACAGCCAGATTTTCCCATGACAGCATATTTACAAATAACTTAAGAATAAAATGCAAGTCAGAATTCTTTTAACAAGTTATATTTTAACATATTGATGATATAGTACACAATTTTAACTCAGTACCACAGGGAAAATGTGCTCATTTTTTTTATTATTTATGAAATGTCTCTACACATAGATGGCTTTGCTTGTGACCTTACCTGATTTCACCTTTCCTTGAATTGGTGGGATATATATATTTTTAAAATAATACTATGAATTTCAATGGTGTGATTTTTATTATAGACATTATAATTACTATAATGTTATTGATATTAGTAACTTGCTGCTGTCCCCTCCTCAGTATTTGCTATCACTTTGATCCATTCTGAATCATCTACGCAGGCCATTACTCAACCTTCAGAATACATCGTCCATTCCATCTACTCCTGCACAATTTTCTTCATCTTTTACCCCCCTCCTCCTGTATTACTACTCTTCATCCTTATTTTCCTCTTCCCCCTAGACTACCTTACTCCACACTACTCCCTCTTCCTCCTGTCCCTGTCCTTCTACTACTCCCATTTATACAAACCTTTTGAGTGCTTTTTTAGCCCAGCCATATGGGATCAATTCTTTGCGATTCTTCCTACATCCCCCCCCTCCTCTCCAAAAACAAGCGGGCAAAGTTTCCTTCTGCAGCCATTCAGATTGTTCTCACCTTTTAATAATTACATCCAAGTCCCAAGCTCGTGCTTCATCTACCCTGACTGATCTAGCTGGCAAACCTATTCTTGCCTAGCCTCATTTCTCCTTTAACCCAATGCCTATGAGGTTATGTACTATCCCTTGCAGTTTTTTGTGAATTGTTACATACAAATGGCTCCACATGTGCTCAGCCACCAGGGAGTCTATCAGTAAGTCCTAGTGACTGCACCTGATTTCCCCATTCCTTGAATTTGCAGGAATAAGTGTTTTTCTTTCTAATACTGTTAGTATTGATATTATTATTATTTCTGTTTATATTATTATTATTTCTATTGATATTATGATTATTGAATTGTTATTAAAATATTAATAACATTAAATACAATGAAATTATACAAATGAAGCTTTAAAAAAATCAAGGAAAAGGGTAAACAGGTAAGATATGTAAGTCTAATAACTGACTTCTTGGTGACTAAGCATTTGTAGAGCCATATATGTGTATAGACAATACATGTACTTTTATTACAGTGGATATGGCATAATATTCTTGTCACCTGCATTGATTGGATTAATTTTTAAGCCAGAACTATTTCAATCTCCTTATATATGACAAGGATTGGTCAGACCATGAAAACAACCAGGAGTATCAATACAGTGCTACACTATTTCTCCTATTGGCAGTCCTGCCCTGTATGAATGTCAAGCCCTTCCCTGTCAATGTCGGAAATTATGGCCACGGTGCCAAGCACTGTCACTGCCCAACTAAGTCATGGCCATTCAAATTGGTGTCCATAATCCTGCACATGTGCCAATTGTGGTGGCTCCCATAATGTATTTTGTAGGAGCTGCCCAGCACACAAGTTCACGTCAGTTAATAGGTCTCGGATTCAAACTTGGTCTTTACATTTGGCTTGGAAGGAAGCGCACAGATGAGGTTTTTCTCTCTTTCTTATTCCAATACAATCCTTTCCTCTTTTCCTCTACCTTCTTCCCAAGATGTCTCGGCATCCCCCCCCCCCCCCCATATAGTTTCTTTTTTTTTTTTTTGAGTTCTTTTATTTTTGTTTACTCACCATGCATATCTCCATTACAGCTGCACATGATGGAGCTTCTGGAGTCGGTGTGTGAGAGCATGAAGGACTATGCACAGGCCCGGCACAAAGAAACGGGCCGACTGGAAGCTATCAAGCTGGTAGTGGATGGGGGTATGAACCCACGCTTTGGTGAGTATGAAATGGTGCAGGACCCTGATCTCAACAAGGGTCTGGAATTCCACTGCAACACTCTTGTGGAGGAGTTTGAGGATGAATTGGTGGCTCACTTCAGGGAGAATGCAGAGACTGATGTTGAGGATTCGCAGGAGACTTTTTGCTACAAGGTGTCAAATGTATGCACTGGGATCAAGGACGAATTGTAATGATAAATATTTAGGTCTAATCATTCAGAGCCATCTTAAGTATTCCATGTAAACATGTTCTGTGTTATTTTTTTACATAAATTTGTATGTATATGTGAAAAGAGTATTTTATTTATGCATTTCTTTGTTGTCTATTGTTTAAGAACATTTTGATATATAATGACTTGTGATAAAGATATAAATTGATGAAGTTATTACATTTAAGAAAAGAAATTTAACTTCTGCAGATATATGCAATTGAATTATTACAAATGTATAATCCATTATTATTATTATTACATGGAAATAAAAGAATTGGAACACTATCAATACATTTCAGATTTCAGATTCATTGGTTCATCCCAAGTATGATGATCATTTATTTTAGATTACAGTAAATGGTATAAACAATGAGACTATTACTGGACAAACTCTGAAAACCTCTGATAATGAAATTTTCTGGAATTAGAATTGCTCAGAGAAAGGACAGCCTTCTATATTGTATTTAAGACTTTTAAGAACAACATTATAGTTTTTTTTTTATCCTTCAACTGTGCTACTAAAATAACATGTAAAAGAGATTTACAATGAAAAGTTCTTAAACCTGTATTGCATTCTTCTAATTTGTTATTGATAGAATGAAAAAAGAAAAGAGATTCTCATCCTTTATATACTTCTTATTTATTAAGATTTTTATTCCCAAGAGGTTTCCTGTTGGATGATTATTATTATTATTTTTTTTTTACTTGTGGTTTGGAAGGCACTAGTAGAATTAGCTCAAAGCATTTGGTGTTCAGTAGTTTATAAACCATAACTTCAAAACTAATTATAAGAAAGTGTTTTGTGTGGTAACCAGGGAACCATAAATATGAAGAGGATGTGGGAAAAAAAACATGTATATTTTTATATTTGAATAGGTAAGATATCCTTGAGCTGGTTGTTGAATCACATTATTTCTTTCTGTAAAGTATGAAACTGCCTTTTTCATATTTAAAGATTTTTCATACATTTAAAATCATGTTGGATACTCCTGTATACCACATATATGATGGTGTTTTCATTTCAAAAGCCAGTTTCATTACATGTGTGAACAGGACCCAAAAATTATTTTTTCACCTTAAAGGCATTAACATTTTTGAAATTTGGTTGCGTTGAAAACCTTTTTATCTGTTATGGTTATAGGAAGTGTTTTAAGAACAATAATAATGATTGTTTTGTCTTTGTTTTTTTAGATATTATTATTATTACTGTTATTATTGTAATATCATCCTCCTTATTTATTATTGTTATGCATTGACAAAGATGAGTGTGTATTTAGGTAAAAAAAATTGTGATGTTGGATTTTGTAAGAATGGGTAGTGTTGGGGCATTTTACAGTATTGTGTCATTTATACTGTCTAAAGTGGAAATGGGTTGTTGTTTTTTAAATAAATAAAAGATATTTATTAATTATTGTTTGATGTCATTTCTGATCATTAGTCCTCTGAATTACACTATGTTGTGAATACTTATTAGTGTCAGTAATTATATGCAGTTCTGTATTGGTTATTTTTCCCTCTCTTGACTTGAATTGTTTATCAGTTTCATTTATTTATTATCTTCTTCAGTCTGTTTGTTTTTTTCATTTTCATTTTCTTGATAAAGTGAAAGCCTGTTGTATTACTGGAAGCAAAGGGAAGCAAACAGCACAGTCTTCAAAGCCTTTATAGCTATAGATAATTGTATTTAACATAGTCATTTGAGTCTGTACATTTCTGTCTTCATTGGATTTCATTAGGTAGAAGAGAGAAAAGGTCATAGGAGTTTCTAAAGGCATCATTGTCAGTTGATAAAGATCAAGGACATAATTTGAGTAGGTTTGCAAAATTAAAGCAAACTGTAATTGCATATGGACAGATGCAGATATAAAGTGATTTTCCAGTTTCAACAGACTTTATGATGGAGATCTCTTGGAAATTATGTAAAGGCATCTAGATCTATTTATTAATGAGGGTTTGGTAAATATGGAGTTTGTCATTTCAAATGTATAATAGGTTTCAAGCAAACAAGTATTGGAAATGAGAGTTTTTGTAATAAATATTTTCCTTATTCATACATGTTATCCCAACTAATTATCTTGCAAAAAAAAATTTAAACAAAACACCGAAAATTTTAGAGAAGATAGAAAGGATAGACATGGGTAAGGAAGTTAGTAGAAAAAAGTGAAAGGATTGTCATCATCTTATTGATGAGCATTTTTTCATTTCTTCTGAATAGTGAATTTTGTCAGAGGTATATTATTTTTCCTTAGAATATTAATACTGTGTTGTTTGTAATGTCCACTTTCTTTTGAATATTGGGATTTTGATTCTTCATAGTTCATCTTCTTTTTCTTGCATAAAGATACCTTTCATTTGAGCTTTTTTTTTACATCTTGCTAATTATCGTTATCAGAACCTTTAAAACTGATGCTATATTCTACATTTTTTTCTCTAATAGAAGGAAAGAGAAAAGTGAAAATTATATATGTATTATGTAATTATTGTTTTTTGCAATATATTATCTTACCCATTACCTATTGATGTTAATATTGTTGACACTGTATTTAATCAGATATTTCTATTAATCTATCAGAGATCACCATTAGGTGTCACACAAGTTATTAGCTTATAATTAACACTTATGTTTGTTCCTAATTTTCTTTTTCTCTGATTTTACTTGACTTTTTTTTTTATCAGCCATAAGGTCATCTCTAAATATGAAGGATATAAATACACAAAAAGTTAGACTTTAGAACATTTTATTATAAATTGAGACATTATCTGTGGTTCTGATAATGCTTTGCACTCTAGGAGTATACTTATTCATCCATCTTAATAAATATAATATTGAGACTATCCAGATAAAATTTACATAAAATAATCATTATATACAGTAAACACATAATAAATAATTTTCCGAGCTTTCCACTTAGACATCAGGGTTGACACATCATATGATTCCCTAACTGGTTGTGATATTCTCAATGACTTATTTCATACAGCATTGAAAGTTCAAACTCGTACCTGAACAGGCAGTCTTATATATATTTATAACTGTAATTGTATGTATAAAAAAATAGTAATGACAAAAAATCGGTAGCCAATTTCTAAATATACAAAGAAAGAAATTTGGGAGCAAGACATAATATTCTTTCATCCATTTTTTTTTTTTTCTTTTCTTTTTTTTATGAATATTATGTCCATCTAATATGCTACCAATTCCGAGCATTGCTGTTGCTTTTTTGAGGAGTACTGAAGCCCATGTAGCAACTAGTGTAATGCTTAGTTCTGAAGACAAAAAACTTAGTTAAGCTTGCAAGTCCATGTTATCCATTTCACTTGAGAGACTGAGACACACATCAAGCTTTTCTACTGAACGCTGAATACATCTCATGCCTCAACGTCAGCTGCCAAGCATCACACAAGAGCTACTATTCTTCCTTTTCCTTTTTATATAACAAGTTTTGCTAAAGCACTACTCAAAAAAGATATCCCAGGGTTATTATATGACCTTATCAAAAGACCTTGGCTGTGTTGGAAAAGTTTAGATACCAAACAGATTAAGGAGTGAACTTGCCTGAAGTGCCAGGCAGATCAGCAGGACTTCATCCTAAAGTTATGGGTCCGTTCAAGGATTAAATTCAATTATACTTTCTTCTGATGAAACATCCATGACTTTACCAGAGACAAGTTTGAGATTGGCTTTCCTACCACAAAAGGTCTCCTAAGGAGTCGCAATTTTCTTCGAGAGATAACTGGACGTTTACAGAAACCACTTTTGAGGTGAATGTATCTCCTAAGTTTGGCTTGTGGAAATTGCACTCAAACATGACTTGGGTAGATTGATCATTAAGATTTTCATTTAATTATGTAGTTATAGCTTAGAAAAAAAATAATAACAGTAATGATAAAATATGTAAAAAGACAAAAATATATATGACAAGTTCAGTATTTGAGAATGAGAGGAATCAACACTCTTGTGGAAAACAACAAGACCTGTATATCTAGAATTTTATCATCATTGTAAAAAATAACTTTCTTTCATTATAAGCATTACTGTATGCAATATATTTCCTCAATTCCACATTAAGACAAAAAAGTTTAGAAAAGTGACAGTCTGTACTTGCCTTTGTGGAAAGCTTTAAATACACTTGAATCAAAAAGAAAAAACATACAAGCTTTGTCACTCAAGCTACCAGGTATTCTCTTAGTGAACGCAACAGTGGATACTCTAAGACCAACAAAACAGCTAAAACCTGTCACAAATAACTGCAGAATTGAGCAAAACAATCAGCCAGTGTTAATCTGTGGTCCAAGACAACTATTGAGCAGGCGAGAAGAGAGAGAGAGAGAGAGAAAAAAAAAACGCCATATTTAAGACGGCTGTGGGCTGCGGTGACAAACCATGCTGATGCGAGAGTAAGTATTCTCCCTAAGTGTGTCTGGGGTTCGTGACAATTCAACTTATTCCTTCAAAAAGGGGGAAAAAAGGAATTATCATAATTTATGGATACCTAGTACGAAATTGTTTTTTTTTTTTTTTTGTATTTTTTTTTTCTATGTAGCTGACAAAAACTCTGCCAGGAAGCACCGGGTAGTATCTATATACGCACTTTGAGCAAGGTTTGATGCACTGTCTGAAAGGCTGTCCTATGCTCATGATTCCTTTATGATGCTGCATGTAAGCTGCTCTTGTGCTCCACCCTTTCTAGAACTTTCTATAACTGATTATAAATGATACATATGTAACCTGCTTTTTAACTATTTTTAGCCACTAGGGAGAGAAAAGGACTTTGGATTCTTCTTTACTGTTCTTTCCCTTTTTTATTTATCTTGCCAACTCCCCGTTTAGTTATTCAAATTTCCTTGTGTCACTTTCAAGAATGTATAGGGAGTTGAAGATAAATCAAAAGGCCAAATCCTATAGCCATTTTCTCACCCTAGTCACACTGGTTATGTTTAAGTAACACTGAGCATCAGGCCACAGTAAATAATAGGCTGTACAACACTAATGATGTATATTCATTGAAATTTACCTGCAATTCTTTGTACCTCAAGATTTCACTGAAATAAATAAACACTGGAGAGTTGAAAAAAAAAATCTTGCTATATCTGTAGATGCATTAAAACAAAAGAATAATGGAGAGCATGAAGGGAGATGCACATTGGAGGGGGAGGACTAAAAAACTGTGTGGTTGAGAGGGGGGGGGTGTTCTTGTCGCGGACGACGTCACATCCAAACACACTGGACCCAGTTTTCGTTACATGATCCCAGGACTTGTCTATGATCGGGAGGAAGTACAATAAACAGTCTTTTGTTGTTACTGTTTTTTTGTTTTTTTTTACTTTTTTTATATTTTTTATATTTTTTTATAGATTTTTTTTTTGATTATTGCACGAGACCGTCTTTTTCTTTAAATCTATTTTTAAAGTGATTTGTACCAAAAAAAAAAAAAAAAAAAAAAAAGAAAGATTTTTTTTTCAAAATAAAAAAGTGCCTTTATATATGCTTAAGCAATATATATATATTTTTTCATAATTCTGATTCAAAGCAAATTTAGTCAGGGCTTGAGGATGCCATTCATGTCATTCTGCAGGCTGTGAAGCTTACTTATATATGGATTTTTGGTCCACACACATGCAGACCAACATACTAAAAATGTGACTTAATACCTATATAAAAACAGGATATAATAAAAAAAAAATAACAATAATAAAAAAAAAAGATGAAAGGTGAAAATGACTACTCCAATGCATATTAACCAAATACCTACAATATTATCCCAGAAACTAATAAAATTATTTTTCCCCCTACAAGCATCAAGTAAATGCAGCACTAAGACAATACATGTACAACAGAAACGTAAAAAGGTATTCTAAATCCTCGAACCTCTGATTCTTTTCTGTTTTACTTCCTAAATTTCAAAATCACAATCCATCTACATTATAATTTATATCTAATTTTAGATAGAGATTTGCTTCTCATTTTGATGAAGAGGTTTACCTAGCCTAATAGTGATACATACCACCACAAAAAACACTAAATGATTAATAATCATAATAATAATAAAAGTAGCTTTACATTCTTTATATCTGGGTCATATCACAGCCTACCACACCTGGTGGTGCCTTCCTATCTCTCCAATGCGGGAGACCTTGAAATACCTCTGCCGTCAGCTCTGCCCAATATCCGATATTCAGCAGGAACCTCATGCAACAAAAGTAGTTACTAGGGTCATGATTATGATTTTTTTATATATATACAAAACGCTTCAATAATTTTTTTATTTATCGTATTTTTTTGAAGGGGAGGGGGGGCAAGGACTTACTGGAAATGGTTTTAATCCATTACAATGATAATTACTCTAGGAGCCAAAAAATTAATATATGAATCAATGATAAAAAAAAAAAAAAAAAAAAAAAAAAAAAAAA